GAGAAAAGTGCACATTATTTAAAAAACAAACATAAATAACAATAATCCCGTGTTCTATTTTGGTGTTGCTATCAAAATATAAAGTTCTGCATTGAAGAAATTCTGCAAAACTGCTAAGAAAACATTTTAAAAGCCTTCTGCTGTGCTGTTGTCAAACACTAATACCTAACATGAGCAGATAAGTGGCTGAAAAAATAGCTTGATCTGTTTCTACACTTTATATATCTATCTTAAAGTGCTGTATAAAACAATTCCTTTAATAGTCACTGAAATTATAACACTTCACCATATTCTAGAGTGAGCATCTTCATGTTAAGTACTTAAGTCATCACATTTATATTCACAAAACCCCTGCTTAATACATGAATGATTGTGCTATATAAGCAATTCAGTATGAAGATGCATCAAGTCTGTGTCATCTGCATAAAACTCTAGAAAGCCTCTGGGCCTTAGTATGTCACCCGCCCCCAGTGTATCTATGACTTGAGTCGTGAGACTTATTAAAATCACAGCTATTAAAAGAATACATGGATTTTAAAAAAGGCTGTAACCTTTAACAATAAAAGGGGTCAATTTCACACATTTACAAATCCTTCAGAAGTTATAGGTTGGTTTTTAATCAAGTGCCTTCAGTGGGTAAATAATCTCATGAGGAAGTGAAATTAGTTTTAAAAATGCTCCTTCACTTTTTATAAGAATCTTTCTTCTTTTGAAGGCCCTGAAAAGTTGACATTACAAAGAACTGCCAAATGCCAACAGGTCTATCTTTACTTCTGAGTAATGAAAACTTTGATGTTTCATCAGAACTTGAGAGATTTGATGTGCGGTTTCTGGAAAAAAAAAAGAAATGAGCTAGTGTAATCGTATCAGACATTTAAGCATTTAAACTTACAAACTGGAATATTGGTTTTGTAGAAGCCCATTTGAACACATATTGCATTAGACATTCCTTGGACTTAAGCAAACAGCTTCTTACTGCTCTATAAAAACTATTTGTACTGTTATTGCAGCTACTGTATACTTACTAATGACATTGTTAATTTCTCTGTTCAGCTCTGTCTAGCTCTTTGGTTTATGATCCTCTCTGCCTTTGAGCATGACAGTTTTGAAGTGGTTGAGAACATTTACAAATGAATTTGAATCCATTGCCTTGCATTGATTTCCACTGCCATACTCAAGTCCCACAATACTGAGACTCGATGACGGAGACTGACAAAAGCATGGGAGCAGCACATAGTGCTCAACGGCACTAATAACCACAAGAGCTTATCACCAATGTTCATCCAAAGAAAATGTTTATGTAAAAAAAATATTTTGATAGATTGAAATGACAACATTTTGGAGCTGGATTTCTTGAGTACTAGATAGCGCATCTCGAAATTCTAAAGCAAGGCATTGCTCCTCTGGCAAACATTTTGTTCTAGTATAAACAAATCCCAGATTTTTGCTCCTGATGACATGATGGCTTTTAAATGGTTTGTGTAGGAGCTGAGACTAATGTTTCAGGGAAACCCTGCTAACAGTACAACATGTCCCATGTTTGAGATAGGATTGCAGATCTGCTTCAAAGATTTAATGACAATTAACCGACAGACAGATGATCTGTGCAAATACTAGTGATAGAGACATCAAAAAGCTTGAGTCTTGGCCTACTACTCTGATGTAAAATTTAAACTGTTTCTATATTATTGAAGGCATTCAGAGCAAAAGTGTGAATTAAAATAAAGAACTGCTGCATTTTAAACACTGAAGCATAGAACTGAACGTATTGACTTAATTATGTACCTGCACTGCTCAGTACTGTATGTTACTATGTAATATTCAGGTCTTCAGATCAAACAGGTTTTATGTGTTACACATGATTGCAGTCAGTTAATTTCATTGTGAGGTCAAAATGAAAGAAAATACTTTAATTTCCCTTAATTTAATTAACACACCACATATCGCAGTAAGGAAAGGCTTTTATCGAGTATTTCTCACTGATAGCTCTGATGCGTAGACACGTCAGTGGCAGTTACTAAACATAGGAGGGTAAAAAAAACTTACAACTGGTTACGTTTACAAAGCACAGCTATCATTTAACATGTTTTGCAGCCACAAAAAAAGTTTTTTTTCTGAGAACCATTCCAATTAGCAACATAATACAAAACAGGAAATTCCGGGATTTGTACAACAAGCAAGCAGTTCAAAGATAAAAAGGAAAATTTTCGTGATAAGTTGCATTTGGTATGCGAGGACTTTAGTTCATGAAAATGTGCAGAAGAGACTTATGATAATGGTAAAAGCATTTGTATTTGGTGTATGATATGATTATATTTACATTGACATAATCAGTGAAACCATAAAACTAGCTATTACACAAACTTAACAAGTATCATGTCTCTGGCACTGTGTATGGGGAGCTACAACACAGGAATAAACTGAGGCCTAATGAAGATTACCCCAGCACAACTACTGAAATCTCAGTATCTGTTTCATTTTACCTTAAAGAATATCTTCAGTTCAACCTAATTATATTTTTGTTCATGTCATACAGTACTGTATAGTATTTTATGTGAGTGACTTGGCATTAACTGTACCCAGGTCAGAATCTACTTTTCAAAGCTGGATGACAGAGAAATGGTCACAGCAATAACATCATAAAGTATTGCTTTCCTTGGAAATCCACAGGCAGAAACTGCTTTTTTGGGGGGTGTATTTGCTGAAGAACCCCAGAAACAAGGCAAATACTTTAACTGTGAGAAATATACCAAATCACAATTTATAATGACATATCTAATAAACAAGATGAAGCAGAGGTTAATTCCATGCTGAGAAGCAGAAAGAAAGAACACTGTTTTGGCTGTGAAGGAAAATTATTTATTCTATTTTTCTGCATGGAATTAACCTCTACTTCTGCCTTTTTGTCAGATGTACACGAGCACTGGTGCAGCTCCACCACTCAAACCATGTATAATACACTCTGAGCAGAAATAAAATAACCCAGATGACGTTGACAATTTCTTTGACCTTGTTTGGTGAATCATGACCTTTGTCGGATCTCTTTCGTGGCTGCACCTGTTAAACGTGTTAGGAATAGATATGACTTCACAGCAACTGCACAAACTTTTTTTGTTACAGAGGTCCTTGGGAGTAACTTGTTCACACCCAGCGTTCAAAATGTTTCTGATGACCAACATGCGTTTTGAGAATGTGTAAAAGTTCAAATCAACAGATATTTTTAACACTGACAGCCAGAAAGGAAATTGTTAGGCTCCTTTTCAGTACAGAGCATTTAAGAACAACTTTCACTTTTCTGTCCTTGAAATGATCTCATGTGCCACATATCTACATATTCCTGAAGGCCAATGATTCTGCTGCTGTCTTACGCTGACTCACAGTTGATAGCAGTGGCATCAGTACAGTATACAGTACAGTACATTCAATAAAGAAAAGGATCCACACTACATTTATAAAACATAAAAAATACTTGATTGACCGTATATAGTACAAATTTATTTGGACCATAAGACACCAGAGAGAAGATTCTTGCTCAAAGTTATCATCAGTGGAAAAGAAGAAGGGTTTATTTTTAGATTACTTAAATCAAGGTGCTGGCAGATGTGACACAGCAGGTGCATCAGGTTTTACTGGCGTGTTACAGAGTTATCTCCAAATATTGCATTTTGCACATGCAAAAACACTTGCCTATATTAAACTGAAAAGTAAAGGCAGAAAACGGGTCAGGCAGACTCACGTATCATATACAGTAACTTTACTCCTAACGAGAACAAAGATTAACAAAAAGATTGCGCAAAAACTGTCAATACCCATCTCTCCATTGAAAGCATTTTTCTTCTGATGCATAACAAGAGCAGAATGAAGTCTGACTCCAATTGCTAAAGTTTATTACAGCGAAGGGAACGGAAAGCCTGCGGCTGTGGCAGCCTGTGTCTACCGCACGATCATATGTGTCTCAAGTTGCAGGAAAATACATCACTGATCCTAGAACTCAGCCGCTTCAGGAACCCTACTGTATGAGTGCTGAACCACCATTCAGAAAGTGAAGCGCATGAACCCGTTTGCATAAAACTACTGTACCAATCTGTTTAGATTACCACTATGGCAATCAGGCGCCGCCAACGCTTAAATCAAGGTAACGGTGAAATCGAGTCATTTTGCTTGTTTTCTCTTGACATACAAGCCTACGTTGTAACTAATCGTGTGAGTACCAACCCAAATCAATAACCGTGTTCGGATGAAAATATATAGCTGCTTTCCGAGACTACAGGTAGAAGCCTCCATAAATGAATTTTAAAATGATCATTCATCTGTACATGTGTGCGGGGGGGGGTCATTATTTTGAGTTTCTAACGATTAATTTAGATTAACACGTTTAGAATCACCACATGATTTCCAATTCTCCAACATCAAAGGTAAAAAAACATGTTTTTTTCCTCAAGATTAGATTAATGCACAACTACTTTATCCGTGGACCTTCAGAAGGAGATCTGGTTGATCGGTCCTAGCGAGTATTCAGAGCATCACAAACCCTGATTTTCTCAGGTTAAATGTAAGTGTAATGTTGTATCCAATGACCCAAGTCACCTCTGACGGCAACAGATTCAACACGCACGAAATACAGAAAAGGCAAACAGCACTGTACTTCGGCTTTGAATACAACGTAATCGATTTTATATCAAGCAGGGGGAAATGGATTGCGTATCAAAACAAGAAGAAATACTGTTGGGAAGGAGCGGTTACTTAGTAGCGACTCTCATTATAAGGTAACTTTATTCATCTCAAAACCCGAGCAGTGCCCTGCGAGTGAAAACAGAGCAATGCATTTATTATGAGCTCCAACATACAGTACATAATTTGAATCATTTCGCTTGGCAATCTAAGAAGAATGATCCCGATAAGTCTCAGATGTTTATCGCTCCTCGTTTACGTTTGAATAGGCATTCCTACACACCTTCAAAGGAAAGCAGTGGACGCTTGTACAGTACATGGTGAGGAGACGCACTCGCCGTAATGTTGCACCTGGTGCACGAATTAAGAGGATTGAGGTTTTCTTCAAGTATACCTACAGTAGCTCACCAGACAGCTCACGTCTCGATAAGGAACACGTGTTTTGGCTATTAGTTTAATAGAAGAACGGCTGTCTTTAATCAAGGTAATTCATATTAATCACGACACCTGTTGTACGTACAGTAGTCCGGAATACCCCGGCAGTTTTTTTCTAAAAGCTTCTTTTAAAAATAACATTTCGTACAATTATTGTACCGTACCAGTTTATTTCACTTGTATGCGTGCACGGTATAAATGTAACAGTGTCTAGAAAACCTAAGATCGCCTAAAAGAAACATATCCTAGGCTAAATCAGTACCACTCCTCTTCAGCACATAAATAGTTACTGTGTGATTGACGGCAGCAGGTGTTCCCAGTTACCGTTATTTGTGATGGGATATGTTTCAGATTTTAAAGGAAGCTTGTCTGGTGAAAAAATAGCAGCATTACATTAATAAATAATAAGGAAGTATCTTAATCAAAGGCGCAATAATGTCTGTTAGTGTTTACGTCGTGTAGTGTGAATTTCCCACAGATTTAGACTTAATAAAGAGAGCCAAGTAAAATCTAAACTTGGAGCTGAGCAGAATATAGATGGGGCTTGAAATACGGTTCAGTCGTGATTTGCACATAGCCCACACATTATCTCCTTCTTTTCGGGACTAGTACAGACTGCTTCGGCACCCCGAACCTGACATTTTTCACACCCTCTGCCTAAATAAAAATAACATCGATATCAACAGCAATTACGAAACACTGGCAGCACAACCAGTGCACAATGTTTGTAACCCATCGTCACTTTAAAGGCATTTGGTTAACTATTTCGCTATCAAGGAATACAAAAAAATAATAATAAACCAGGAATTCCTGCATGAGTATTTTTAGCTCCTTCATTTAACACACGTTTGTCGTACGCGATGCCTCAGTACCTGCTTGACAAACTCGTGCTGTATATACGTCCCTGCACCACACGCAGATTATACCTTAGAAATAACGATAAAAGCTGCTTAGACTGGAAATAGATTTCGGAAATCAGCGGTGTTTTTTCGCGCTTACCTGGGAGACGAGGAAGGCTACGAGAATGTGAGCTTTGATCTCCATGTTTAGTTGTCTTTATGTTATAACAACGTGTAGGTTTGACCAGCTCTGTTCATAATTCCAGAGTCGAAGTGCCTTAGCTGCCAACTTCCCAAATAGAACTGCAGCCTCATCACTAGAGCATTGGAGAGAGGCGCCGAGACCACAACCAATAGATTTACAGGGGGATTTCTTCAAGTCCAAAGGAACCCAGCGCAACTGTAAGATGCCCCCACATAATATATAGTATGTGTGATTTTTATTTACAAGGAAATACCGGCTTCGATATTGTTTTGCGTGCGTTACAAGGTGCAGATCAAGCCACATATTTCAGGGAAATCCCAATGGAGCAGGGGTTTGATTCTTCTCATTGAGAGTTTTTGAGATTCCTGGGGTCTATTTTTATTTGATCTTTCTCCAAGTGTAAATCCAACAAGCTGGATTGTTGAGTTACTCTATGAGTAACCTCCTAGAGTCCTTTTATTAGAGACTCAGATAAAGTGTTGCACCCTCACCGTCGCTGTTACCTAACGTTCAATCTTTTGTTTCAGGAGTTGATTTGCTGAAAGGATTTGACCGCGGGTCTTTATCCCCTTTAATAAAATGTATTATTGTGATATCGTGGACAAAATTAATGCATAGCAGCTTTGTCTGATACATGTTCATATAACAACATAATCCTGAAAAGAAGCATCAAAAAGATTAAGAAACGTTTGCTGAACTGGCCCATTTACTGTCCCGGCTGAGCAGCTACCCTAGGGTCTGTCTTAAGGAGACATTTCTATACGATTTCTGCACTTGATCGTCAAGAGAAGAAAACTGAAAATTCATTAAAATCACTTAGGCGACAATATATTCAGCAAGATATTGTGATGCTAAAACTGCATGTATTAATGTTCTCTAGATACTTTATTTTTAACAAAGGTAAGGAATTTTATCGTGTTTTCTTTACTTAAAAAAATATACTGTATTCAGAATTCTTGATTTTCAGTCAATCGCGCTTCAGGTTTAAATACGAGCTTCAGAATATACCGTACTTTCTTCGTAGAAATAGGTGGGGATATATATAAAATAAGGTTAATCAATTTAGACTGCATCATGAAGAACTTGATTTTCTCAACCTTTCGGATACTCTGCCCCGTAAGAAGATAATCAAGTATATTAATAAAAATATCACTCCTCACTCCTGAGTGGAAGCTGACCATTACTGCAGTACCAACCACGGGCTTAGAAATGAAAGTAAAACGCTCCTTGAAATGACCTGTAAGGATACAAAATCACCAACAACCCACCTTCAATACACAGACCGTCTTGTCAGCGAGTTTCTGTTTTATTGACTCTTTTAGATAAATCCACTAATGAGAGTGACAGGAAAAGATAATACCTCAATCATATAGATGAAACAGATAAGGTTGGTTCCTTACGTTGTATTCAGTAAAGCATTAAATATTCCTTAAACCAATGGCAGTAATGTGTGCTTTAACCTCCATACTGTATATGAATGATCTTTCTGCATTAACCTATAGAATGACCAAGTACTCATTTGCATTATAATTCTGTATGATATTCTTTGGGCCCTATATTAAAAATACTAAAAGTTGAAATCCTGTAATTTCCTAAGGGAATTAATCACCACAGGGTTGTGAATACTGAGGTCCTTGAAGTTTAGGAACAGGTAACATTTCATTCCATGCTGAAAGGTTAAAAAAAAGTAACGCAACACTTCAACTGTGAAGCCTTCTTTAGGTGAAGGAGAGAGAGAGAGCAGCAGATCAATAAGGCACAGGAGAACACCGCACAGAGTAGCTAGGAAGGGCATAATGCAGGTGAGGAGGAGTGTCCAAACTTTAAAGTTTAGTTTGTGACAAGACATGCATGTTTGTGTTTTCCGATGTCAAGTAAAATAAACCATGTTTTCAGAAGTAATTGATAGCTTGGAAAAGTGCAACTTCAGCCAGAGACATAGGTTTCCATTGAAAAGCAGGATACATTTCTGATTGTAGTACAAAGGCCAAAACATATCTATTGATGCACAAGCAGTCTTCAGGAGCAGTAACCCCTATACCAAACTTCACATCACAGACCTGCTACATGAACTAGCCAATATGACAAGTGAGAGAACAGACAACTGTGAGAAACTGCAAAAAGTAACTTCTAAAAATAAAACAAAAAAGTTACACTCTACCACATTTTATATCCCAAATTTTACACGATGTGCATCGTTAATCATTCCACTCTTTTACACAATATCATAAAACAAGCCAGACTGCAGAATGTAAAGATACATTTATGTGTAAATATAACAGATAGTCAAAGTTCTAGCCCTACCCCCACATGAAAAATGAGGTGAGGAATTGCTTTGACATCTCAAGGAATTGCTTTGCCAAGACAATGTCACAGCTGTATTTAGAATCTCATGTAAGGTATTTATCAAAATAACAGGTGGAAATTACTGCAGCTACTATGACTAAGAGCACCCTACCTCCTTCATAAATGCGGATGTCTGAAAATGCCTCCTACAACACGTTAAAACATTTTTGTTAACTTTTCCTTTCTTATATATATATACTGTGCTTTTGGTATGTTCAGTCTGTATGTCCCTTGTACACTATCAATATAATGCTATATTGTGCTCTGATATTATACCCAGAATGCTAGACTGTGCACTACTGGGTATTTGGTATTGCTAACAGACTCCTAAATAGCCTTAGGCATGAAAATGTAACAATGTTTTTTTAGACATTACGTGTTTCTTCACATGCTTAAGGAAATGTTGTGGTTATAATAATATTTGCTAAAATTACTTATCCTGTCAGAAGTACTAATTAAACACCTGTGCTGAAAATTTGACTAAGAAAATGTGACTTGATTGTAAAGCTAAGTGCAAGACAGGTACAGTAAGTCACCTGAAGAATAACCGAATCTTTAACAGTCATATATATTTATATACCCTTTTTAAAAGATTGTTAAATATGGCCTTTCATGATATCTGTTTTACCAAAGAAAAGCCTGCAAGCAGTATTGCAACACCCTGGATATAATACTATACAGTTCATGGAATTATTTACTATAAATTACTGAAACTATCACTTGTTAATTTAGGCTCAGCACCTCAGGTGCTTGTTTTTTAGGTCTCCTGGTGAAGTTACATAGAATTCACTTGTAGATTACCATACAGATAAATAAATAATTAATAGGTTCAACCTGCAATACCAAACAAAAAAAAAACAATCTGACTGCTTTTGGAAGAAAAGAATCTTGCAACCCAAAATAAAATGAAAACCTGAACAAAACAAGCAGCATTAACCTAAACTCCCACTGAAATGTTTAGGTTTTCTCAAATGAAAAAAACAACTTTTTTTCTGAAATGTCTTTCCTTTGTCCACCAGGTGGAGCTGTAAATACCCAGAGTGTCCCCATCAGGAGAAAAGAAATGCGAGTCAGCTTTGTCCTTGGATACGGTAGTGAGAGAGAAACTGAAGCTGTGGCAGTGAGAGCCTGTGGCCTCCAGTGCTGATTGATAGCATGATATTTAACTTTTATTACACTTCGTATCTAGGCTATAAGTGCCAGGCTCCTACTGGACTCCTTATAAACATCTTTAATTTCAACGTATATTCACTGTACTGTATGTTCAGTATACAGTATGTGCACTTTTTTGTAAAATAATGTACTTTGCAGAAGACCAAAACTTTCCAACATTTTCCTAAACAGTTATGTTAAGTTTTCCAAAACTGGATAAAGACATTAGCCCTGTCGACAATAGCACTGCTCTTGTCTGGTGGGAATTTGAGATTCTGTAAATCTGGTACGAATCAAAGCCTGATGTCTTTACTAGGACACATCCAAACAATTGCATATTGTACTGGCCTGAAGTGGTGTTTACTGTTCCTGTCCTGGAACACAGAAGGACCAAACAACTACATGAGTATTTTCTGAATCATGCCTACTCAACAATAAGAAAGTATTATAATCTTCAAGTCCGCAATCATTTTGAAAATTTAGGCACCTTCCAAGGCATTCTTAACCTCTTAATACTGCTGATTGTCCATTTAATGTGCATTTCATTTATGAACATGAACAGTTCATTCATCAGCTCTATGCTGTGACTATCTCTGATTACTGGCAATATTATAAGGCCCACAAAAGTTTCCATGCTTCAAGACTCCTTCTATAAAGTACACGGCACCCTAACTACACTGTAGTTTGGGTCAATTGTGGCAAACTAATACTTCATATTGTGAGCCAGAATCACTTCAAAATTCCAGGAATTCTTTAAAACATCTTCCCTTTTAGGATATAGTTTAAATAGGTCTTTTTTTTTTACTTTAAAGATGCAACTCTTAGAAATAAGTATATGTGAAAACTGTGGGCTGTGGAGCCATCATCAGGAGTGTAGGGAAATGAAACTAGAGGAAGAGAAAGAAGAACAAAAAACAGGGTCAGAATGGGGAAACCTCCAGTTATAATATTATATTCTTCCAGTAAATCTGTGGCAAGAAACAATCTTAAAATTACAATTACAGCATACAAACATGGAAGGAAACTAAGTACGAATAATGTTGTGGTTTATTTCCTGTAAAAGGCACAATTCAGTGACAATTCCTAACCACATAATCTAATGGTAGTGTGGCAGGATTTAAATAACAGAGGCAATTTTCATAAAAAAGCCCAGTGATGCTCTTTCGCTTCTCACCTGTTGCAATTTAAAAGAATTTGTCTTTGAAAGAGACAAACAACAGACAAAATGAAGGGAAGACCTTTGTTTTCCAGAAACCCAGACAGAACCAGACAGCATCTCCTGTCTGTCTTTAATGAATCACTGAATTAAGTGCATCTTCACCAACTTGGCTGGTGCAGCAGCCCAGATCCCAGCCTACATACCATCCATTATAGTGCTACCCACAGTGAGTTAGTCATTTGTCCTCCTAATGGTGAGATGAGTGATGAAAACCAGTATTAGGACATAATGTGGTATAATAACTTCTTAGTTGCATTTCACAGAAGCTTGGAATATTAATTGGTTTCTCATAGGATTGGTGCTTGGCCTTAATAGGCTTTTATTATCTTACATTTAATTTAACAGTTCCGCTTTAGATTTCAGGATTACAAAATAATTACAGTGATGCTACTAAAATCTTTGTATGGCATCAAGATACGTTATGTTAAAACTGCAAAATGCATTAGTATGATCTTATTACAATGTCGTGTCCTGTTTTGGTCACCATGATGTGAAATGTATTCTGCTGTTTTGTCCAGAGCTCAAAGAAATTAACTATACTGAGACTAAAAAACAATTATTTTTGTCCTTGACCCGAGAAGACTATTAGTGGACATTATTCAAGGATTCAAAATCTTCAAGGACATTGACAGAGTCAATCCTATGGACTTCCTCAGTATAAACAGTGAAAAATAAATGGAAATTGAGGGAGATCCTGTTTAAAATGGAGCAACTTATCTAGCCATATGGTCAAAGTGTATATCACCATGTCTTTCATGAAACAGTTGCATGAGACACTCGGAACAATTCATCAGTTCAAATCAGATCTTATTTCAAATAATAATGGCTTCTAGTTTATGGCATTACAACATAGTCACGCAGGACCAGAAGAAACACTTTCAGGCAAGTTGCAGGCATGGAGAGGAAGCAGTGATCAAAATGAAAAAGAAAGCATGTTTTTATTATTCAGTTTAGCATATTGAGTGTCATTTCTGAAACAATAAAATACAATCACCGGACCATAAAATATTACAACTCAAAGGCTGCAGTCCTGCATTATCAGTAGGAGGGAAGGGGCACTCGACTTATTGTTTTATTTTGAAAATAAAAAATAAAACATATATGGGGAGCTGTTCTGCTGGCTGGACTGCATCCATTCATTTATTCTAGTTGACAATAATACTATACAAGGGCTCGATGAGTGTTCTTTCATTCACATGAGATGACACTTTCACCTTTTGATGTGCAAAGCTCCCTTCTTGATCGCTGGGAATAGTCCTTATCATCACACATTATCCTTCAACCAGTAAGCAGCTGAGTAAGTACTCCAGGAGAAAGCTTTCTACTTAACCTATTCATTCTACAGTCTATAGAAGTCCACGGCCGTCAGCATGGGTATACATGATTCAATTACTGCTAATAGCTCTCATTAAGATGAAAAAAACCCAAAGTGAAGTCAGACTTCTGTCATAAAAGCCCAAGGGACATAAAGGAAAACCATGGGTGCCAGCAGGCACAACATTGTTGTCTTTATTTCTCCTTTATTCTGTAGTTTTCATTCCCTCACTCTGTTTGGTTAGCATTACAATTGCACTGCTCCCAATAAATTTTCCCGTTCACTGCAAAATCAGTAGAGGTGACATATGACATAAATCTCTTTCATACAACACCCCTTCCACCACCACATGTGCTTTTGCCCATCCAATAAAAAAATCGAGTTAATCTCAGTCTTTGGCAGATCCTACACTCACAGTTAAGTAAATAAACCTGCAGTTGCCCACAGAAATATAACAAGTCAAACTCTGTCACCCTTTGGCATTTAAAAGCATTATTGAAAGAAAGCTTCATGGGTTCTCCCCCATCTTTCTCTCGGCACTATGACTCTGAACTTACAGAACAAGCTGACTTTATTGCATTTGTTTCTGTCAGAGTGTGCAGAATCTATGGACACCCAGAGATACAGCTAGTGGTGTCTGCAAAGTACCTTTCAAACTAAAAAGACATTCAGCTTTCCAAAGCTAAAAAGTGAATTTTACATTTCTTTTCTGCAATATGCTTCTGCCAGTGAATCATAAATGGCAGTTCAACACATGTTAGCGGGTCCAATATTCTAAATAACTGAATTTCAAAAGAGCAAAGAAACAAAAATCAAGGAACCCAATTTATTCCATTTACTGGTTCATTCCTCCTTCTCACATTTTATAAATCAAATGAAACAAAAAGTTTATCATTAACATAGCACAGGTTATAAGTCTATGCCCCTGTTACATGTTGCCATCAAAGAGCTCTTTTTTTTTTTGCATTGAGCAATTTTCCACACAGAGGAAAGATGTCTGTTTTTCTGTTTAAGCCACATGTTGTTGAAGTGACTAGATCAATCTCAGGAGAGAGAATTTAAATGCATCATTAGAAGTACCGAAATAGTCTTAGATGTCCAGCAGGCTGATTCATTATTTTACACTGCAGTTCAAATGAGTTCAGTTTTTTTAGTACCAACATAATAACAATCCTTTATTCTCATTTGCAATGATGACCAGACTGAGAGGCTCTCACCATTGCAGCACAGGAGACAAAGCAGGGAAAGAAATAACAAATCAATAACATGTAAATAACGTAATAGGATGTGACAATGTTGGCAAGTGCAAGTCTGAGGCAGAAAAGATTTAATCAAACAGCTGAATCTGCCCCCAGATACACAGGTGGGTTAGTGTCAACCTGCTCTGCAGGTTGATCCAGTCATTGGCATGGAAATTGAAATGACTTGTGACCAGTAGTTGCTCCTGGGAGGTTCTTTTAGAAAAACCTAGCAAAAAAACAATATGGATATGGTTTTCCCCAATTCAAGATATATACATTTATTTAAGCCAGTTTTTCATTCACCTAGCTTGCAGAGCAGGACTATCAATCAAAGAATAAAGATCACTCATCCGACCACATGTCAGGATATTTAAAAACCATGGATTGCTCCCCTTTTGCCTTACTTAAAGGCAAACTTGTGAACAAGTTTTCTAGTAGAGTTTAGCGGCAGGCACAGCTCACAGACAGCTTGATGTGTTTTGTGAGCTACACTGAGCTACACGTCGGTCATAACTGATCAAGTGGGTCCAGTCGAGTGCAAGACAGAACTGGTGGAGGTGGGGATGAGCCGCCTAATGCTGAGAATATTGTTAATGTAGGTGGAGAAAACAGATGACATGTTGACAAGTCTAATTTGTCCCATTTCATAAAACAACAGTGCTGACTAATGAAATATACTAGTGTTAGATATAAAATACTGTATATATCAGCATCCATCTTTCTACTGTTAATTTCAGGCATGTGAAAGTAATATTCTGTGTGCCATCACATTTAATATTCTTTCTGTACATTCACTGTGCACACATTGCAAATTCATTTTTAATGTCAGTCATTTGTAACCATTACAGTCTGCTACCAAACATTCAGCACAGGACATTTAAAAAAAATCCCAGCATCTAAATACACTGATAAATTGGCTATTTAATAATTGAAATTCCAGGCATTTATTCAGATAGTTAGAGGTTTGGTTGGAAGGAAACTGCTCTGCCTGTCAGAAAAGACATAGCAGGGGGTACCCCTTGAGAAGCTTAGCTAAGAATGGGGAAAATGTGACGTACTGTAAAATCCAAATTTAAAAAGCCCAAGTGATATCTACAGTCCTGTGTCCCTTGCAGGCACAGAGAAGCATATCAAACATTGGACACCCGCATTAAACTTCCAGCAGTTTATTTTAGTTTTTATTACTCTGACAAACCTCATCTGAAAGAAGAAATTATTTTATTTATTCAAATCATGGCATACAGAGTCAGAGTTATTGCTGGTCATGAAAATATCATTTACTGCTCATATTTTTTCCCCTAACCATATGTGCAGTACATAAATGTGTTCGTCTCTTATCTCCGTTTCAGGTGTTATAGACTGTATTAGAAGTCCATCTCACCCACTGCTCACAGATACATGCTCAGCTTCCCTCCACATTCAGACTTCTCCATTTTACATTGATTTAATTTGCAGACAATTTAACTTGCTCGCTCTGCATGATTGCTCAAATCCATTTGGAGCGTCAAAAGAGAAAAATTTTTGTAATTAAAAATTAAAATGCGATGGTATTTTGAAGCAGTGGCAGTGTACTTTACATCTGTTTTGCCATGTCTTAGTAGGTCTCGCTGGCTGCTTGTCTTTCACAGTTAAGAGGCACATCATTTCAAGTGCAATCTGTAATTAAAATTAACGAGACAAAGTCATTTACAACTTCACTTTTCGCGTTTTTCTGGTCTAGGGTGAGATGCTTGGAGGAGTATTTATTTGTGCTTGTTTGACATGCATGTCAGGGCAAAACATTATTCTACAGGCAAGTTAAGCAGTTAATTCATCTGCTTTAAGAGTGGAGATAAGCATTTACTAGGTTGAACACAATGATCTTTTTTTAATAATTTCAAAGCATAGAATACATCCACCTTAGGAATTGTCCTCAGAACATTTTTATACAATGAGTGTATAAAAATGCAGCTCCAGATTTTTGTAGGACATATTTACAGGGCTGAGGCAGGTATAAGCAGGGCATTTTAAAATAAAATATTAAACTGAAAAATCACCATCAAAGTGTGTTTGATTTTACAGTAAACTGCAGTAAAATGGCAAACAACTGGAGTACAACATCTCATGGGGTGTAGTACAATGTCAAATTAAAAAGCTTTCACATTCATGGGGCATATTTTAATCTAAACATATTAAATATTCTGCTGAATTACAAAAGAAATTGAATGTTTTTATTCTTAGGGGAAAAAAAGCTCTCTGCATTTCCATTTGAAATAAGCAGATCAAGAAAAATTAAAATGACCAGACACAGAACAGTGCAATGCAATCTAATGGAAATGCAATGAAGGCTACACTGCAGGCTGTACACTGAGGAAGCACCAGATTCATTTAATCTTTGACCGGAGATCAGTCTGAATTCAGGCCTTGTGCTAGTAATTCCCATGTTTTATTTTCTTTAAACATCAAGGAGTACTTTTCCCCTTACCGTAAGTTAAAGGAATGGTAGGGACATTTGGTAACTGTGCCCTTATCTTTGAAAAGCTTTTATTTTCTTCATAAAGTGCAGCCCACATTATTAACAATGTACTGTAAAATGGCCACTGGCTTGAGTAGATTTGAGTCTGACATTTACTTTCATCCTTTTCCTCCACAGATCCTCCCCCAGCACTCAATTATAATACATTACCTGATATCATATCCTCCTGCCCTCAATTAACACTGAATTATCACAGCCTGGTATTTCAGGTTAACTGGCTTCAAAAGTGGATTGAAACTTGCAAGGACAATCTTAGATCTTTATGCAATTGTAGGCATGCACTTTCTAGAAATGCAAAGATAATTTCATTTTACACTTCCTAAAGCCTATTGAAGTTTCATTTTACACAGCATGCATTCAGAAGCATGCAAGTCTCAAAGCATGGCTTCATGGAGCCTTCAACACTTTTGTTCAATCAGAAGGGACAAAGACCAAGGTTGTGTGAAAGCCTGTTTTGAGTAGAATATTTTCTACCAGGACAGGGTAACCTGGAAAAAATGCACAAAACTCTTGACCTATTGTATGTGCTGGTGCTTTGTGGGTTTCAAAGTTAAATTGAAGATGTTCAGACTTTGTAAGTGCCTTACAGTACCTCTAGGACAAGACCCTTCACCATCACCATTCTTCAAATCGTGATTATAACAAGCTCCTTCGCCCTCCTTGTTAATGCATTGTAAGTGCATTGTAAGAATACAACAGGGACCAAAAGAATAGCTAAGACTTAAGTCACTGGATAATTCATTGGTCAAAAGGTGGGAAAAAAGTTTTTTTTTCATGCAAAACAATAACCTCCTACAGCAAGCATTACAAGCTCAAACACAAAGCATTAATTATTAAACAAACTATACAAATAACTGGATTCCATGATTAGATCATTAAATAGCTTGTTGCATTCAAGTCCTCCAACAGAATGGCTGGGAAGACGGACACTAACCCTACTATAGATACAGGCCTTTCCACAGACCTCATGATAAAGAGCAGTGCCAGGTTGTGCTGAATCCACACAATAATGGGCTTTTTTACTGTACCAACACGACAAGAGA